AATACCTCTTTTAAATGATGCAAATGATGAAAACAAAATAAAAGAGAGCAAAAATGAAAAAGGTTAGTGAGGTGAAAATAATAAAAAACAATCATGAAAATAAAAGTCCTACCCCACATGATATCTACCTCACATGCTTATTATTCCTACCCGGACATGATCTTTATCCCGCAAGTTGATTTTGAACAAGTCCTAACCACATAAATTTATAGTTCACATGCTTTGAACAGAAAGTAAAGCAGGAAATAATTCCGGTATCCTAGGGTTTGAAATGAGGTTTTGGGGTGGGCTCTAACTCCTTCAAAGTCTCCCAGTTTATGTTCTAAACCAAGGTACCCGAGTTCTCCTTGCTGGTGCCCCCTTGGGCTTACCAGACCCTTAGTCCTAAACCCATCACAGGCTTGTGTAGACTAAGTTAAACTCGAGAGGAAACATTCCCTTATGCCCATACGGAGAATAAATTCACACGAAGACATAAGGTATATGAATCTCGAAGGCTACTTGCTAGGCCCGCACGATGAATAAATTCACACGAATGCGTCGCTTTCACCCCCACTTAAATAGGGTTCGGAGCTCGGGTATAGAACCTTAGACGAAAAATCTTTAAGGGATGAAATCATTAGAAAATGGTTAGTACAACTATTAACTTGAAAAAAAAAATAATCCAAGATAAATAATTGGAATCGAATAAATAAATTAAAATTTAAACTTGTAATTTTTGCTAAAAAAGAAAACAAAAATTAATTATGGCTTGACTCACTTACCTGTCCCCAGCAGAGTCGCCAAGCTGTCGCAACCGTCTTTCGGTTGGGCCCGGAATTGGGCTTCGACTTGAAAATGTGGATTGGAGTCGCCACCGACCATTTTAAAACGAATTTAGGTGGGTCGGACACCATCTTACCTGATCTACGTTTTTACCAGAAATGTGTGGGGTTCGGGAGGCGGTTACGGTCAAGGAAGGATTAACACCCTTGAACCGCCCTTTCGGTACCAATTAATTTACCGATTGTCTTTAATTGCGAAAATTCGAATTTAAATTGAAATTTTAAAATTCAATTCGAATAATTACCTTTGATCGATTGAAATTACCCCTAAAAGGTAAAAAAAAGTTAGATAAAAAGATTAAATAAATCGAAAAAAGAAAGAAAAAATAAATAAATAAATAAATTGAGAAAATAACTATAAAAGTATTAAGAGAAAAAATGTTCATTCTTTAAAAAAAATAAAAGAGTGTAAAAAACACACACTATATATATACACAAAACAATGTTAAAAGAAATAAAGAAAAATATTTAAAATAAAAATATATATATAATAATAATAAATAATAAATAAATAAATAAATAAATAAATAAAAAGGATTAAAATAGCAAAAACAAAAGGTAAAAGGACTAAAATGGAAAAAAAACTAAAGTCCCAAAACAGTACCTGCAGAAACTTAAATGACCAAATAAGTATTAAACCCGAAGTACTAAACAACAAATTAAAGATAATGACCAAAATGGAAGAAAACAAATATGAGGACAAAATTATTTAAACATGTTATTCTCCAATGACCCATGAAATAATTAACCCAAAAATTACCCAAAGGCACAAAAATCCCTTGCTTTCACGCGTGTAATTCATTTCGACATTTACCTCCTTTCTTTCTTTCTTTTTTACGCTGTTGTTCTCTTCCTCTTCATCTTCCTCTCTTCTTTTCACTTTGTTTCCTTTGATCCGAGATTCCAAAAAATTAGCGGTGTTGCCAGCGGTGAACAGTAAGCTTTGCAGTGGCCGATGTCGACTTTAACGACGGAAGACGATGATTTTACGGAGAAGAATAGTGGTTACAACCGAAATGGTAAATACTTTACCTTTCTTCGTATTTCTTTCTCGATCGTCCCGTCGATTTCCCCGTGTGGATCTCTTGTAATTTATTCTTGTTTTCTCGGATATTCGTATGATTGTTCTACTGTATTTCTCAGGGATTTTCTGTAAATTCCGTGTGTGATTTATGTCTCTAGTAATCGTGTGTAAGCTCCCCCCCCCATTTGTGTTCGATTTACATCATTTTATAGCCAAAACTGTTGGCTATTTTTAGAGTCATATATGAACTAAAGCACTGCTTTGTTTGTTGGGGATGGATTGTTGCCGAGGAAATCGCCAGATAGTTCAGAGTTTGACCGGGACATGCAGTTGGTTGAAGAGTCTTCAAAAATGGCGTGCCACGCTTGGAGAGTTGGAAGGCTAGGTTCTGGATTTGAGGGTGTATTGCTAGGCTGTTGACTTGGTCTTGTAAATGGTCTTTGAGCCTGTAAAAAACATATAATAAGAAAATATATATGTAATATATCATAATAAAAAATAATAAAATAATAATATATATGTAATCGGACAAAAATTAGTGTCCACAAGTTCAATTTGGTCATATAATATAGTCATTTTGGTATTCGAGATTGATTTGTTCATTTTAGAGTTGAGGGTATTTAGTTATTCTAGGGCTTGGACATGCTTCGAATCATATTACACTTCAGGGGTATTCGAAATAAATCAGCAATTTAATCGGTGATTATAAGATTCAAGTGGATCATAATTTAAGTTCTCAGGTCGTCTCCATTATCATAGGCATCCATAGTCATTTTTTACACTTTAAGGGTATTATTGTCATTTCATTTAATTCTATCAGTGGCATTACTTTTGATAAATTAGGCTTGTAAGTACTCTAGTTCCTTTAGAGTTCAGGGTGCTTTGTTCATTTGATCATTAGAGGTTATTTTCACCACCAGGGGAAGCCTTAGCCATTTTACAATATAAGGGCATTTTTGTAATTTTACCCCATAGTGCTATTTTTGGTAATTTCTTATCCAAATATTCCCAACATTTAACCTTTAATGAGATTAATTAGAATTTACGAGTTATGAGATAGATTGATTCACTGATTAAATCATTGAATGAGATTTGTTTCCGATCGATCTACCAATTTCTTTTTCGAGCCGTCAGAGTCTTATACAACGTTCTACCTTTATTCCAATTTCCTTATGAGTCTAATGATAGTTAAATAAACCTAATGGACCAATCATTTTCATTCATGAATTTACCATTTATCAATGGGTTCTGAAAAGCATACAAAAGGTAGTAAAGTATTACCTCAATTTTCGTGCCATATCGATCAACTATTTAAACTTCATTCGATCGCCCTTGAACTTTAATTCAATATCCAATAATTACTCGGACACATAGCAAACGAATTTATATAAAAAAACTGAACTTAATCGAAAAACCAACTTGAATCTAAAGATAAATCACTGAAAAAAGTCTTACCGGGTGCGGATTTTGCAAACAAATTTCGAATTTGGACTCAGGATGTCGAAAAACATAAAATAGGACTTTTCGAAAAATTTTACTTTTTGGGTCAAAGTCAACAGTCTGATCGGTCAACGGTCAACCCTAGCCAAAGTCAACGGGTCGGGTTGACTCTGTTCGAGTTGACTCAACGGGTTGACTCACGAGTTGACTCGTTTGACTCGGTCAACTCGATCGAGTTAACTCAACTTTCCAGAATTCTCGGCTAGGAAAGAAGCCCCACACACGGTGGAGGCGCGTGCGGTGGCGACAGAGGACGAGGTGATCGGACGATTCTTCATGGAGCATGTACTCATCAACCACAATTTAAAAACAACCTATTTGCAAGCCAAAACACTAGGAAAATAACTGAATCGAACGATCAGAATCTTACCCACGACGGACGGCGGGAACGATGATGGTGGATGGAAAACCCGATAGGGTTTTGATCGGAACTGGCCGAGGAACACGATGATGGGGGCGGTGAGACACGACGATTGATGGTTTGGTCGAAATTGATGTAAAACCGAAGCGACAAGGGGGTTTCTCGACGATGATTTTTAGCATCGATTCGCGGCGGAAGGAGGCGTTTCACGGCGCGAAAATGTTCGGGCTTTGGTTGCCGTCCGATGAGGAGTCAATTTGGGTAGCGGCGTATTTCTACAGTGGCTGGAATCAACGAAAATCGGGGAAAGCTAGTGAGGTAGTGGTTTGGGGTTTAGGGATTTAGGATTGAGATTTGAGGAAAATTTTAGGAATTTCACCGGGGGAGGGGTTTAAATTTTACTGCCCAAGAAAAATGGTAAATTCAGGGATAGGTCCTTGAATTTCCTTCAACTTTCTAAAACTGACTACAAGTTTTAAAAACATATAATTTGACCCCCTAAATTGGGGGTGTTACAATGTAAATTATTTAAAATAGTGATTAAGAAATAATTTTCACTTAATTTTTAAAAGAAAATATGTATAACACCATATAATCATCTATTCAAAGTTAATTTTAAAATATTTAATATTAAAGTGAATAATAAATGTCCATGAATATCCTTTACATACTACCTGGGTGTTTAAATCTCATCACTCAAATTAAATCTATTTAAAAAAGAAAAAAACAAAACAAAACAAAACAAAGGTTTTTCCCCAATAAGGTAGCCCAAAAAAATTACAAAAAATAGCACATACACTTTTATTTTGAGATCTACGATATTTTCTACAGTACAATGGAACTTGTCACAATTAGGTGACGAATTCTAATAAAAATATTTTTTTATTCAAACTTCTTATTTTGATGTGATAAATTTTAATAAAAATTATATTTTATTAGAACTCGACACCTCGAGGTGACGAGTTTGAATAATTTTTTTATTGAAACTCTTCGTCTCGTCGTGACATGTTCCATGAACACTATAAAAAATACCTTAGATCCCAAAATAAAAACCCGAATTTTCTAATGGGCTAAATAAAATATCCGGATGCTCTAATGGGCAATAAAAAACCCACAAATCAAAACAAGTTTATGCAAAAACTTGAAAAAGTTCGTAGTATGATCCAGCCCATCAACATGTCTACCTTATTATGGAACTCATAGACCGGGTTCTATATCCGCATCCGAAAACCCGACCCTTTTCCCACAAATATTACACACTGTGCCAGATTGCCAGTAAAACATAGAAGCAGCATAAGCAAATTTGAGAATTTCCTGTCTGAAGTAATCCGCAAAGAAAGGGGAAAAATGGTGGTAACATGTCTCCAAACGAATCCAAACTCTTATTTTAAACCCTTAATTTCATTTCCTTCTCTAAACCCTAAATATTCCCTGTTAAATCTCTCCTTTTCCCCTAAAACCTCGGATATTGCTGAACCCGTAATCTCTTTACAAGACAAAGCGAAACCTCCTGCTCTTTCTGATGAACGGCCACTGGATGATTCCCTCTCTGAATCTTCTTCTGAGAAAGCGGTAAAGCTTTGGGTCCCCGTTTCCCCCTTCAATTTCTTTTTTTTTTTTTTTGCGAGAAAAAAATGGGTTTAATTAGAACTTCATTTTCTTTACCCTTTTCTTGTAAAACCCCGATAAGGGCTTATTTTGAACTTAATGTTTTTGCTCTCTTCTTTTCTTTGTAAAACTCAGAAAAAATTGTTTTATTTGAACTTACTTTCTTGTAAAACCAGAGATGAACTTAGATTCATGTGTTTTCGTTGTGTTTAGTTGGATAATGTAGAAGCTTGGAGTGGTGGTGAAGCCATTGGAGAAGCCAAGGGTAGTGTTGAAGTTCATATGGATGGAAAAAGATATAGAGATAGCCCTTGATCAAGTGATACCGGGGCATGGTTCAATCCCATTGAGTCCATATTACTTTTGGCCTAGGAAAGATGCTTGGGAAGAGCTCAAGGTTTTGCTTGAAAGCAAGCCATGGATATCCCACATGCAAAGGATCCACCTTCTCAATAATGCTACCGACATTGTCAATTTATGGCAGACAAGTGGTGGTAATTTATACTAAGCGTTTTCAACTGACAAAGTTTTGTTCAATCTCTTTTACTTCTAGTTGCAATTACATTCCTTGTTTTGCTAAATTGAGCTGAATCAAATATGGGTGACTGAATGTTCTTGTGATAGCCTTTTTTATGTGAATCAAGTGTGTGTGTGTCTGTGTGTGTATGAACCTCTTACCGTAAGAATGGATGTTCTTGTGATAGCTTTTTGTATGAATCGGCGTGTAAATTAGCGTATGGATGTTTAAAATCAAACACCAATTCACACAGCAAGCTTATCACAAGAACATTCATACTTGCAGTTAGAGGTTCATACATACACTAATGACTGTATGAATGTTGTTTTAGATGCTTTGTTTTGATTCTCTGAATCATCTTCACAAATCTATCATATATTTTCTTTTGATTTTATAAAAACGTGATGAATTTTTTTCCTAAAGGTTTTACCTTTAGTGCTTAAGAAAAGAATCAGAGTAGGTTCTCTGCATAACATCCTATAAGAATTGCCACTCAACAAAGTCACAAACCTTTTCCAAATCCAAATTAATAGTAACCTTTACCCCTTATTAGGACCGTTTTCTGAAGTCTTTAGATAATGAAACAATTCACGAGGCATGAAAATGTTTTCACAAGTTAACCAAACAGGAACGAAAGCACGTTAAGTTTCACTTATACAAATAGGCATTTTTTTTTATAAAATTGGAGTCCTCAATTTTTTTTTATACTAAAATTAAGCTATGAAATAGTTCAACAGACATTGGAAGGAGAAAAAGAGTACCTCAATCTTTTTTTTTACTAAAATTATCAAATACATCAAGAGGTAAATACAGCCAAATACAACCTGAATAAAACCACCAAATACTACAGAAAACAAGAACAATATTCTTTCCCCAACTTAGCAGAAACTACCCCATTATACACAGACTCCTATAAGCAACCAAAACCAAACATTAAACTGCGCCAACAACTATTACCCAATTCCCAGCTTTGCAATTAGCTTTCCAATTACAACATCTATGAATATCTCTTACTATTACACTATTATCCACCACCACTGCACATATTTCTCTAGCTAAGGTCTCGAACAAATGTGGGCATTCACCAAGATTTTTGATCCACTCCAAAGCCTTCAAACAGTCTACAGTCTGACTCCAAAATCAGCCTTCCTTTAAAGCTCCAATCCTTCTCAAAAAAGGAACTTAAAACTTTCTTGATTGCAAGCAATTCTGCTAAAATTGGGGACCCTAGACCTACCTTTTTCGAGAAAGAACCCATCATCTTTCTGTTCGAGTCATGAACAAGACCACCTATGCCATCTTTCTGCCAATCCTTCTTCACTGCTCCGTTAACATTGATTTTAAAAAAACCCAAAAGGGAGGGGACCAAGCCAGTGTAGAGGAAATTATACCAGCCCCTTGAATATCAGCCAACGATGGGTCACATATCAAACAATCAAACTGCAAGGCGCTTGGAAATTTTGCAGCAAACCAAGAAACCAATCTAAACCTAATAAGGAAAAAAGTTGGACTGGATCAAAAGAACCCTTCTTAAAAACTACTTCATTTATACACTTCCACACTGACCACCAAATCGCACCTGGTATAAACACCCAAATGTGAGAGTTTCGGACTAAATCCATCCAAGCCATAAGGAGATCTGCAGGATTAAATGGCAACGCCGTAGAAACATTCCAAAAATGCAGAAAACTACACCAAAGATCCCGTACAAACTTACACGAAACTAGCAGATGCGAAATAGTTCCTAGCTCAATCCGACAAAGAGGGCACAAAACATCTTCCAGACCGTATACTCATCTTTTAGCCAACTCCGTTTTCATAGCCAACTTCTTATGGGAAGCTTGCCAAACAAAGCTTTCCACTCTTGGGGGCCACCCCAAACCAAACTTGCTTCACCCAAGAAGAATATTTTGGCTGACTCGCATACATTAGCCTAACACAGGATCTGGCCGAATAAATTTCTTCCCTGTTTCCCGTCCAAAAGCAGCCATCATCTTTAACATCATCACAAGGAAAATTCTGAAGCAATGCGAAAAGATTTAACCACTGTTCGACCTTCTAATCAGCAAGGTTCCTTCTTATTGGAATGTTCCAGCTCCATCCTGATTGGTTTCGACATAGGCATTATATTATTAAGACCATTAAAATGGACTTTGACATAATTTTATAGAGAACAATGGACAAGCTTTTAGGTTAAACACAACTCATAATTTAGTTGTTTTTTCAGTGATAAACAAAGGTAAGGGATAGTTCAAGCTTCTAGGTTAAACACAACTCATAATTTAATTGTTTTTCCTGTGATAAACAAAGGTAAGGGATAGTTCGAAAGACCATTAACAATGGACTTTGACATAATTTTATAGAGAACAATGGACAAGCTTCTAGGTGAAACACAACTTAGAATTTAGTTATTTTTTCGGTGATAAACAGAGGTAAGGGATAGTTCAAGCTTCTAGGTTAAACACAACTCAGAATTTAGCTGTTGTTTCGGTGATAAACAAAGGTAAGGGATAGTTCGAGATTTCGACAGTTGTGTTATTATACGTTAATCATTTAGTTGTTGTATCATGTGAGACAACGACCAATAATCTCGAGTACTAAGAAGTGAATAAGAATATGTCTCAAGGAATCTGTGTAGCGACAAGCCTCAACCTATTTCCGACCAATAGATCTACTAAAAAGAGTACTTTTCTTTTTATTCAATTTTATTTTATTTTTAAGAAAGTTTAACTTCCTTTATTTTATTATCTCAGGTTCGGTTATCGTCTCAGATTGTTATTATTTTTTAACAATCTTAAGATATATTAGATAGATTTTAATCTTTCTTCTACCTTTTAATTTGAGATGATTTAGAAATCATGGGAAAAACAAGATAGAAAATAAATTTGTTTTTATGATTTATTCTATCTTTTTAACGGATTTGCTTAATCTCAAAGTGAATAAATCTATTTTATAGAAATTGTCTTTAAAGTAACATTTGTTATTGATTTTATTTCAAAACATTGATTTTGTTCGGTAACAAAATCGAAAATAAACAAAAAGTAATTTTCTGTTTATTAGAATTATTGCTAATTTCAGTTCTGTTTTGAAATCAGTTGAGATTTAATTCTGTCATCTAAGAGAACTTATTTGATTACTATTTATAATAGAATTCATTTGAAAATAATAATTTTTTTATTGATTTGTTTAAGAACTTTAGTTACTAACTAAATTCAATGGTTTTATCATGCTTTGAATTAAAATTCAATGATATTGATTGGCATGAATCAGAAAAAGAGACTTGTGAAATTTTGATGATAGAATTTCAAGACATGACAACAGAAGATGTTGTTCTATTTGGTCATATTGAATTTGGCCAAATATCAAATGATCCTTCTACTATTAGAGAAGATGAGGTAAATGTTATTACCACATTAAAAAATGCACGTAAGCATTAATCATGACCTATTAATATAGAATATTAAATATAATATGAATAAATAATATATTTTTGATATATATACTTATTAGTAAATATTATAATAATTATGGGTTGTGTTTGAAAACACTGTGGATTCCATTATTGCACTATTAATTTCTTTTGAAAATTTATAAATACAAATAGATTCAGATTTTAATCAAGGGCTTTTAAATATTGAGTTTCCAAAATCAAAGATTAGTTCTTTTTTATTATTGAGTTGTCAAATTACAGGATTAATTCATTTTATCGGGTTTCCTTGATATATCAGTTTTGAGTTTTAGTGCTATTAATTTTATCGTTTAACAAAAGATAATACACTAGAAAAAGGGAAATAAATTACTGAATTTATTTTACCTTAGAATTTTGCTTTAATTCTAACTTTGTAAGAAAATACGTTATTGAATATATTTTCTTGAGAATCTTGAATGATTTTGTTTTGTAAAAAGAAATAAATTGTTGAATTTATTTTCTTAAGAATCTTAAATGATTTTGTTTTCTAAAAAGAAATAAATTGTTGAATTTATTTTCTTGTGAATCTTATATGATTTTGGTTTGTAAAAGAAAATAAATCGTCAAATTTATTTTCTTAGAAATCTTGAACATTTTATCTTGTAGAAGAAAATAAGTTGTTGAATTTATTTTCGTAAAATCTTAAGAAATTAAGTTGTCTAATTTATTTCTTGAGAATCAAGTATGATATCATTTTGTAAAAAAGAAACAAATCATTGAATTTATTTCTTTGAAATCTTGATATGTTTGTAATGTGAGTTCTTGTAAATAAATCTAGTTTCGGGAATTTAAGTCCCGTCGTTTTAACGAGTTTACTTGATCTACATTTTCCAAACAATAAGTAATATGAATTAATATGTTTATTCAATTTTCTATGAACAAATTTGTTCACCAGAAATTGTTACTAGATATAAATTGGTTACTGATTATGTTCAACAAAAATTTAAGTGTTGATTTCAACTGAGTTCTCGAATCAGAGCATGGAAAAAACTATGTTTTTCTATGATATAATCACATTCTCAAAGCCTTATCAGATGCACGCTATGAAGTGTTCAATGTTTAAAATGGCTAAATAATTATAGATGGTGTTGGACCATAAATATGAATTGAAAGATACTAGCACTAAAGAAATTTTGGTGATCTAGTTATCAAATTCACAATGATAGCACAAACAAAAGGGAATAATTGTTTTATTATATTCGTTGGTGATAACAAAAGTATTGTTATACATATTTGTTAAGAGCTAAAACGAATCTACGAAAAAAATTTATTTTCAATAAATTAAAAGTCGAAAACCAAATTAATAAAAGGATTAAAAAGGTGAGAAATGATCGTAGTGGTGAATATGTTGAAGCATTTAGTGAATTTTGTTCGCAACATTATATTGTTCACTAAGTAACACAACCATATTCTCCTCAATCAAATGGAGTAACTGAGCGAAAAAATAGGCTCTAAAAGAAATGATAAATGCCTTATTAGGAAGCTCTAGTTATCACAAAACATGTGGGAGAAAATTTTTCTCTCAACTAATTGCCTTTTAAATAAGGAACCTCGAAAAGAAAAGGACAAGACACTATACAAATTATGGAAAGGCCGAAAACCTTCCTACAAATATTTGAAAATGCGGGGATGTTTTGCTAAGGTAATGTCCTCATTACCAATGCAAATA